CTACCAATAAACCTGGAAAGCTTGTTTGGAGCTGGGGATGGGAGTAGTTGAATCCAGTGCTGCAAAAACCTCTGACTTAAGAAGGTTTGGTTCTCTGATTGGAAAGACCATCTTCCTTGAAAGCTTTAGGAGACATGCATCTGTCTCAAGAAGTAAAGGGCAAGAAAACACCCATCCTGTCAGCCAGTCAGCCAGCCCTGGTAATCAAAGCAACAGCCTTGTGTGGCTCCACCTTTATGTCCACTCAGACAACACTTCAGATTTTAAATACAAAGGACAGCACCAATATCTGGGAGGCAATCTGATTGATGCAGAAGGGTCTGTTCTATGAGAAAGGACAAGAGGACTAAGGGAATCCACTGGCCCTTTACCTAAGGAGAATCCCAAACAGCTGCAAGAGGACTGACAGCAATTAACCAACATGAGTTTGGAGAGCCCACAGCAAATGAGCATTTATTTAATGTATATTAGTTGAGTGCCTACTATGTGCTACGTATTACACCTCATATCAATAGTTAGGTTACCCTTACATTGATCTGTAAGCTCCTAATGGGCAGGAATTATTTCTCTTACATCTTTTGTGCTGGACAGAACCTAGTATATTGAAGACCCTTAATTGAATGGTTGATTTCAAATGGCTTATTGAGAAACATCTGTAATCAAGGTTAAGTAATCTAAAATGTTTACCCCTTCAACTATCCCCTTTAAAGTTATATAGGAAATGAAATGGAGAATGAGAAAGAACCCCAAACTGAGTAAGAGTTGGAGAGGGACTTGAAATGAGCTTTAAGGAGACAGAGAATAGGTGAGATCAAGTTATCAATGGATTCTTTAGCAGCCCTGCTTTCTAGTACATGGTCTGTTCAACAGCTGCAGCTGGGCATATACAAAAACTGCTGGGAAGACACCAAAATAAGATGATTCACTGAGATGAAATGATTACATTCAGGGCCCTGTAGAAGTACTCTGTGTGTGATTAAGAAAATAGATGGTGATGGGATTGGTGGAGGGAGGGTGATGACAAGGAAGGAGACACTCTGACGCATGTAAATTTTAAAGTGCTAAAGAGGAAGTGGATGAGCAAGGAAGTAGAATTAATCATTTGGAAGCCATATTCTTTATCTTCTACTCCCCTGAAATCCGAGGATAAAAGAGAGAGTACCATCTACATGCCCTATTCCTAAGCTGTCTCATGTGATCCTCTTCCCCACTGCCACATCTGCCATCGACAACACTTGTTAAGTGGTGCAAGGTGTGTATATTAAGGTGACGTATAATTTGCCCCAGACTTCACAATAATCTAGGTTTAAGTCTTTGACAGCCTCTGTATAGATCTGTCTAGAAGGGGCCAGTTTGTTTTCCATCCTGCTCAAAGGCAAGGGAATAAGTTCCAGTCTAGCATCAGCCTACCACAGTAAGTCTGTTCCCTCTAAGAATACTCATTTAAAATGTTTAAAATTATTTAACATTTCCAGACTTTAAGATATGTAACCTTTATTCTGATCAATTCTGGGTACCCTTCAGGGACATGTGACCTTGTATCTACCCAGGACAAATGTGCCTGAGATGGAAACAATCAGAAGGTCATTCTTTTCCCCAAATATTGTGGGCATTTTTCAGGATTTTTTTAATGATGTCAACTTGACTCTCCCTTTTGAATCCTTGTGGGTATGAGCCTTCGGCCCTCCCAGCCTCAGAGGGAAGAGAACCCTTTCTCAGGTTTTCTGTTGCATCTGGCTCCATGCCTAGCTTCATCCCGAAGCAGCATTCTGGGTGTGTGGGGCCACCAGCCAAACAAGCCCCTATGGAACAAAAAGTGTATCAGTGTAGACAGGAATGAGCCTCCAGAGGGCTGTGGGGGAGGAAGGCAGTGAGCCCCAGACATGACACAAGTGGCTTTGCTGGCACTGGCCCATGTGAACCTGTGAGGCCAGGCTCTGCAATGGTTCCAGTACTCAGGATTGGCCACTTCTTAAAGTCCCAGGGCTTGCTGCCAGCCTGACCTCCTGACATGCAAAAGGAGAATGGGCTGAATGTCTCTTCTGGTTCCTTCCTATGCCTGTCCACAGGCCTGACTTCAGAGTGCAAGTTCCTGTGTAATGGCTGGGACTATGTCTTTCATGATTCCTATACAAGTGTCTTGCATAGTGCGTGCATATAAGATTGAATGCTTAATTGATGAGAAGAATGGTGTGTTCTCATTAAGTTAAAAGCCACTGCCCTTCCTGTGCTACACTGGGGCCTCCCTGACCTTCCTCTCTACTTTATAATGGACCAGACTTTCCATCGTCCTCACATGAAAACACTCAGAAAATGCTACTTAAGCTGCCTCTTCAACCCATGCAAAGTCTCCAGAGCGCCCACTGCAGCACCCCAAGCACCTGATGGTACTTGGGTGCTTGTATCCTAGGCCAGATCTAAAAAGCCAGGAAAGCCTGCCAGACGGTCACCTGTGTGGCTCCACCTTTACTTCCACTCAGACAACACTTCAGACTTTAAATACAAAGGACAGCACCAGTATTGGTGGCGACAATGTGATTGATGCAGGAGGGACTGATCTATAAGAAAGGACAAGAGGACTAAGGGAATCCCAAACAGCCCCAAGAGGACTGATAGCAATTAACCAACATGAACTTGGAGAACCCATAGCAAGTCCTCTACATTATACCAAGGTCGGTGGGGAGTTACAAAAAGATAAAACCTGGTCTTCTACATGCTAGGGCTTTAAAATTGTAAGTCCCAAAGCTTCATTAATTTCTTGTTTCAGGTGATAAAAAGATGTGATTACCCAGATTGAACTACAACAAAGACAAACTACAGATAAAGTAAATCCCCACACTAGAAAGGACACTGGTGATTTCTTAAACAATCTCCCATTTGGTGCAGGGATCACTTTCATAGCATCCCTGACCACAGACCTCTCATGAACCCATTCCTTCACGATGTAGCCAGCTTCAGTTCCAGGCAGCTGCATTTTTAGGAAATTCTTCCTCTTAGCCACTGCTCCTAGTTCTGCCCTCTGAATCCAGAGAGGACAAATACCCTCCCTCTGCCTCATGTCACTGGCAAAACATTTTCTTACATCTCTCTGACAAATAGGAATTGTAAAGGAACCAGTGGTGGACCTATTGCTCATTGCTTTCCAACAGACAGCACCCAGTCATTATAAATGACAGTGGGCAAAAAGTGGCTGTTTTGGGAATACTTTGGTTTAAAAAAAAAAAAAAAAGATAGGCTCAAGCTGTGCCCTTAGGATTTTGGAGTCCTTAGAAGGATTCAGGAGTCTGGCTGGGCACGGTGGCTCACACCTGTAATCCCAACACTTTGGGAGGCCAAGGCAGGTGAGTCACTTGAGGTCAGGAGTTCAAGACCACCCTGGCCAACATGGTAAAACCCCGTCTCTGCAAAAAATACAAAAACAAAACAAAACAAAAGTAGCCAGGGGTGGTGGCAGGTGCCTGTAATCCCAGCTACTCGGGAGGCTGGGGCAGGAGACTAGCCTGAACCTGGGAGGCAGAGGCTGCAGTGAGCTGCGATTGTGCCATTGCACTCCAGCCTGGGCAGCAGAGCAAGACTCCATCTCAAGAAGGATTCAAGAGTCTAAATCCCAAGAGTGGACTGGAGAGGTATCTGTTTCCAGGTTCTCCCAACCCTGTCAACTTGACAGATGTTGGCGCTGGGTCAAGATAGATCTATGATTCTAGAAAGAGGAATACAATTCTTAACTCTTCAAACCGTGAGTAAGGTGGGTTGAGGATCCAGCAACAGCATGCAAGCACGCACTGGATTCCTTGGCAAAACTGAGAGGGAATGCTGGGCTCTGGCTAAGTGTAGACCTGTTGCTCTTTCTTCCTCTTCCTCCTTCTCCAGTAACAACAGGTACCACTAATCTTAGTACCACCCTCCCCACAGGAGAACAATTACAATTAGACAAACCAGCAAAAACAAAGTCCTCACTTCAGGGCTGCCCCCAATTCCTCCATTAAGACCACAATCTAAATCAGCCAGTGACTTCAACCTTCAAGGAAAAGGTGATTTCCCTGTGCTTCCTCACTCATCAGCAGCTCTCCAAAGGCAGCAATAATGCCTCTGTTTAACTTTTCCATCCACTAAAATATGAAGACTTGTTACTTAAAACTGACTCTAAGAGCACCCTGCACCAAGAGTAACTAAGCAGCAGGGAAAATCTTTCTAGGGCAGAGGGAGGGAGGTCTGAGCCAGTGCAGACTGAAACAGTAGTCTCTCAGGCAGGCAGTGGCTGGACTGGCAAATCCCTCTATGGTCAAATGCTAATGCTCACCTCTCTCTTCCTTATATTTTATGCTGGGGTTTGGCCACTGCCTCCCAGACTGTAAGACAGTGCTGAGCAAAATGCCTGGTGGGTGATGTTTTACACAACAATGATGACTTAGAATCTCAGAAGGACCACAGGAGGAAAATGCCTTGTTTTTCCTCCTATGGAATACAGAAACTACATTAAAGTGATTTCTAACTAGGGCCACGCCAAATCCACTCATTCAGGGAAAGCACTAACAGAAGTCCCAATAAACATGAATCAGCACCCAGGATGACAATAGGTCCCTAAATGCAGAAGTGCTGAGATCCCATAGAAAACTTTCCACAGATGGGGAGATCTGATGGAGCACCCATGACACCCAACCCCAGTAGTGGATCCCACTCCTCCCAGTCTAAAGGGGCTTGTCACCAGCTCGTTTCTCAAGGGAACCACCTCTGCCCACTCCTCTCGGGACACACGACTTTGGGAACAAGGAAGGAGGGATAAAAGAAGAGGCAGGGCAGACAGCTGAGTTTGCTTCTACTCTGGGAGATTAAAATGAGAAACAGCTTCACCCCACAGGAATCATGGCTACTGGGTACAGGCACTGTACTTGAAGCAGTTGTGTGAGACCAGGCTACTTGATACTTATTATTGTTAAAACCTCAAGATTTAGCCCAAAGGGAAATGAGTTACAATGCTGTCTTGTCTAAGGGCTACTCACTTCTTTTTAAAGAGCTTGCGGAAGGAGCTGCGAAAGCCCCCTTTCTGGTCTTGCCTGGGATTCTGATCGCTGAAAGATGTTTGTTCACTTTCTCTTTCTTCTTTGGGACAGAATCTGGTAGTATCTTCTAAATGCATCTCCTGGAAACAAAAAAAGAGGTTTTTTTTTTAACTCCTCTCCAACGTTATTATGGATCCTGACTATGGGCAACTTTGCAATGTTGTCACTTTCCTCTCCCATGCCAAAAGACTACCAGTAGGCACCCAATCCCAACTAAAGCAAACCTAGGCTAATGAAGAAACCAGTAGGTGAAAAGAGGATAATTTTCTGTTGAGTGTAGTATCTTCTACGTAACAAGGCAAATAGTCTAATGTAATATAACAATAATTAAAGGAAATAAATTTAGTTAATGTTTAAAAAGTGAATAAATTCTTATTTTGGCACCAACACTCTGGTGCTGGAAAACCAGTAGCAGTCCCCTCATATCTCCAGGTATTTCTCTTTCTACAAAATAAGGATGTTCCTTATTTGTAATGCTAGTTTTAAAGTCATGTTCCTAACTCTCCATTTTAGACAAAAACGAAGGAAGGCATTTTTGAGAAGTCAGACCTGTTTAGAAGTATAAATGTCAACTAATATTTCCAACCTGCAAACACACCTGTAATACAGTTTTTTCAATTCTTAACCCATGCTATTTGGAGTATAAAGTAAAATAAGTTAAAAATAAGGCTGTATCTTTTGTGAACTCTCTAGTTTCTTTTTAAATGTGAGATGTGCTAAATAGAAGTGCATGTATATTTATATGCAAACAAGTCATATATGCACTTATATACATGTTTCTATTCCATATGAACAAAGTGTTTACCTTGAGGTGACTGTAATTTAAAAGCAACCTAAAACTAGCTGCTGAATTTTGAAAAACCTTTAGAGAAGCCAAGAAGTCAAAGCAAAAACCACAACAATGATGCCCTCAAAGTTTAACGATTAGATGGGTGACTGCTTGCTGACAGAGAAACAAAGTGTGAGGATGGATTTTTTTCCCAGGAAACATATGGGTCTGACTTTCAGAAGTGGGGGTCGCAGATATAGAAACTGAGATTCTACTGAGATTCCTAACTAAACCATGGAGATCGACATGCAGTGTTTCTTAAAGTATGGTCCTGTGACTACAGGATCAGCTCGGGCCTTTATTTAAAATGTAGCTTCCTGAGTCCCGTCCTAGACTTTCTGAATCAAAATCCTTGCAGTTAGACCTAGTTAATCCTTATGCACACTTAGATTTGAAAACGAATGATTTTAGGGAGGGGTCCTCAACTCCCAGTACCAGTCTGTGACCTCTTAGGAACTGGGCCACACAGCAGGAGGTGAGCAGTGGGGTGGGCGAGCCAGCGAAGCTTCGTCTGTATTTACAGCTGCTCTCCATTGCCTGCATTACTGCCTGAGCTCCACCTTCTGTCAGACCGGCAGCGGCATTAGATTTTCACAGGTGCACAAACCCTATTGTGAAATGTACATGCAAGGGATCTAGGCTGCATGCTCCTTAGGAGAATCTAATGCCTGATGATCTGAGGTGGAGCTGAGGCAGTGATGCTAATGCTGGCGAGTGGCTGCAAATACAGATTAACGTTAGCAAAGAGGTTTGACTGCACAGAGACCATAATAAATCAATTGCTTGCAGACTCATATCAAAACCCTATCAGTGAGTGGCAAGTGACAATTAAGTTGCATCTGGTGGCAGGCTTTATAGTGGCAAGTGAGTTGATGTACTTCAATGGTACAGTTACATCTGGTGACCTTAAAAGTAGTTTTGAGACCATTTCAAATCTCCATATGTTCTGGACTAAAGTCAAGGAAGAATATCCTCAGATTGCCATGAAGCACTGAAAAACCTGCTTCCATTTCCAACATCCTATCTTTGCGAAACGGAGTTTTCTGTAGTGACAGCAACCAAAATGAGATTACAGAGTAGACTGGACATAAGTGACACACTTCGGGTGTCACTATCTCCCATCATCCCCAGATGGGACCATCAAGTTGCAGGAAAACAAAGTCAGGGTTCCCACTGATCCTACATTATTGTGAGTTGTATAATTATTTCATTATATATTAGAAAGTAGTAATAACAAAGTACACAATAAATCTAATGCACTGGAATCATCCCCAAACCACCTCCCCAACCCCAGCCTGTGGAAAAATTATCTTCCCCAAAACCGGTCCCTGGTGCTGAAAAGGTTGGGGACAAGTGACTTAAGGCATGCTTCTGCCCACCTACACTTAATGTTTATATGAATCACCTGGGAATGATCCCAAATTCTGATTCAGTAGGTCTGGAGTGCAAGTCCTGCATTTATAACACGTTCCAGGCAATGCATTTACTACTGCCCCCAAGGACCACATTTTGAGAAACGGGCTTTTAGAGACTATTTAGGGACTAAATCTATTAATGATTTAAAGAAAATCTTTTTGTGAAATCATGATCTCAATAGAATTTCATACTTTACAAAGCCCACTCAAAAACTGTATCTTATTTGGCCTGATCCTCACAGCAACCCTGTGAGGTAGGTTGTCTCTATTTTGAGACAACTGGAGGCAGAGAGAAGCCAACTGACTTGTCCAAAAGCACACAGTTACTGGGCAGCAGAGCCAGGAGTAGAACCTAGAGCTCCTGACAGAGACAGAACACTAAAGACTAGGCCTTAACTGGCTCTTCTGGGCAGGGTGAAAGATATACAGAGCACTTAAAGGGATGAAACACGAGGAGTTTTGCACATCTCAAAAGCAGAGTTGACACCTTTAAGGACAGAGCTTTTGGGGGTTCATCTTTTGCAACTAAAACCCCATTGCACCACCACCTCCAACACACACAAACAGGCAGATATACAGACATGCACACATGCACATCCATGCCCATGCACACATATATACCCACATCGCCTCTGCCCACCTGCGCTCTGCATGCCACCTCTCTCTAGGACTCCAAACAACTAGGGCCTTTTAAGTTTTGGAAAGAAAAATGTGTCCAAAACCAGAAATAAGTAATGGGAACTTGGTGTGCTTGAAAATTTTAATGATATTGCTAGAGAGAACGCATTTTTAACTGACTTCCATTTGAAATTTTCTTGGCATCTCATCCTGAACTGACTTGACTCATGTCTTACTCTGTTAGGAGATGAAACCTGCTGTCCAGTATGTGCGATTAACCGTTCCTAATACATCGTTCGTTGTTATTTGGTATGTCTGGTAAAAGCCACAACTATATTATTCATTGTTTGCTTCTCAAATATATTCACTGTTATTTCTGATTAATCGTTTTTACCTTGCAATTGCTGAACTCCAAATTTTTCACAAACCAACTAGAAAAGGACATTTTTATTACATATGAAAGAAAAGTGCTGTACAGTACAAACTATGCTAATTATAAGGTTTTATATGTGAACCTCTGCTCATCCCAAGTCACACTGACTTGGCACTACGATTTCCATCCTACTTCCTTTTCTATAAACTTCTAAGCTTGTCACATGTCTAAGATTGATTTCTCCAAGAAATTCTGCCTAAGCAAATTTTACAAAGCTTGAAGTTGAAAATCAGAGCTAGGGAAAATCTAACAACTCCAGGAAATCTCAGCAACGTTAGCTGAGCACACTATTAGGTGTTTTTGTCCTCTGCAGGGACCAGACACCGACTCTGACTGCTGTAGTGCAGGTGGGCAGCAACCTCCATGGCTCTTCCTGTTCCTCTGGCCTAATTTCCACCACTCTGACCTGGCACAGTATGCCAAGGAAAAGGCATCACCCTGCTTCTGTTATGCTTCCCTGCCTCACTCTTCCCCTAGCCAACTTCTAGGCAGCTTTTACAATCTAATTCAGACATTCAACTTATCTAGGAGGCCTTCTCTGACCACCATGACCCCAAAGGTTTTAAATATCCCTCCCATGTGTTCCCATAGTTTATTACATAATTCTGTGTTTCTGTGTCTCCTTTCTGTACTAAGCCAGTGGTCCTGAAGGATAGAGACTTGTTTGTTTCAGCAATTAGCACAGAGCCTGGTACAAGACAAGCATTCAGTGTTTGCTGAAAAATTAATGAATGAAAAAAGTCAGTGATCATCAATCTGTTCCCATTCGAAAATGAGAATAGTTGGAACGGAAGGGTGGTCGCACAGGTCAGAGCTATCATGTTACCTACTCTCTGCTTAAATAGATCAGAGCAATTATTTGCTCAGAAACTATTAGCACTTCATGGATAAGTATTTAAAGACCTCTTTGACTTCCAGGCTTGCAGACACCACAGTGAGACATCAAAATATCAAACACCTGCAGATAGCCTGCAGGCAGTGGGGCTGGCCATCCGAATACCTCAACATTCACTGAGGCCAAAGAAGGTGTTTTTATTTTGCGATGTCCCTGTCCCAATGGAGTCTGCAAATTAATATGACACTTTTTTCCAGTCAAAAGGGAAAGCAAGCAGAAATAGAGGTGGCTTTGCAGCACACTGCGCAGCGACTCTACTCTGAGCTAGGGCAACTTGCCTCCTCTCTAGCTACAAGCAACACACTGGCCCGGGATCTGCGTGCTCTGAAAAAAGTGCAACTCTTCACCTAAGCAGGAAGAGTCCCCATAACGCCCTAAATGTGTGTGTGATAAATCAGAGATAAAGAATCGCGGGCTTCTCTGCTATCTCTGCCGTCCCTCGTATACCATATGAGGCATGCTCTTTGGGTCCTGGTACTGGAGAACACGCGCGGCCACTCCCCTTCCAGGGCCACCGAGGCAGCCTACAGCTCGCGGGGTGCGCGGCTCCCCCGGCTCTCCCTCCGCCTCCGCCCCCCGAGCGCGCTCCCGAGCCCCTAGCCTGGCCCGACCCCCCGCCCCTCCACACTAGGAGAACTCGGGCTGCTTCCTGCAGATCTAGGCCTCGGGCCGCCGACGCTGTGGGTTTCGGTTCGGTGTTACTTTACCCTCCTTACTTCCAAATAGGTCTGTTTTTCGCTTTGGGACCTCTGTTGGGGGAAGAAAGTCCGGGGCGCGCCGCGGGCGGCGACAGCTGCGGCGGCCGGGCCGTGCGGCTGTGCGGCGCGCTCAGCCTTGATCGGCGCGCGGCCGCCGCTGCTGCTGCGCGTGCTGTAGAGGCGCGGGGCCACGCCGTCGGCGGGCGGCGCACGCGGGAACTCCTTGAGCGAGCGGCTCAGCGGCTTGGCCTTGCCGTGCGCCTGCGCCTGCGCCGCCGCCTCCAGCTTGTAGGCGCCGCTGCTGCCCGCCGGCGACGTGGCGCTCTTGGGTAGCGGCTGCAGCGGGTGCTCCGGCCGCTCGGCCTCCATGGCGAAGCTGACGGGCCGCAGGAAGCAGATGTCCAGGCTGGACTCAGAGGAGGCGGGCGAGCAGTTCTCGAAGAGGGCCGGGGCCTGGAACGGCTCCTCGTCGTAGGGCGCAGGGAGCGCGAAGATCTCGCCGCCGTACTCGAACTCCTCGTAGGCGGCGGGCACGAAGCCGCGGGCATCGGGCAGGAGCTCGGCCGGGGCGCGCAGGGAGCGCTCCACGTTGCCCAGCGGCTCGGCCGGAGAGGGGTCGAAGTCCATCTCCGGGATGGCCTGCAGGGGCCCGGCCAACGCCTTCACGTCCTGCTCCGCCGCGCAGAACTGCGTGGGCGCCAGGAGGCTCTCGGGCCGCTCGTGCTTCCTGCCCTCCAGCTCCCAGTCACTGGGCTTCCCGGGCTGCATGCTCTCCATCAGGCTTTGCTGCTGTTGGCTTTTCTTCACTGGGGGCATCAGATGTCTTTAGAAGGGAAACAGAGTACAAAAGAGGTGTGCTTACGGCCGGTGAGCGCCGACCTCTCACCTGCCCGCGCCCCTCCTGGCCACCACCTCCTAAGCTTCACAAACTTCCACTCAGGCGCTTCCACGAACCCCAGACCCCAGGCGCAGAGTGGAAATGGTAGTCTGTCGAGCGGAGGCCCGAAGGCATCGTCTGAGCTTCCGGGAGATGGCCGGCGGGTCAGGGATGGCCATCACCCCACGTGGAATCCCAGGCCCTCCTCACCACCTGCGGTGCTCCAAGGCACGCCTTCAAGCTCGCTCTCCCTTGCTTGCCCTAGCAAAGTCATGCAAGATAATGGAAACTCAACTCTTTTTCGACTGGTGGATCTTCACACTCAAAAAACAAATTACGTTCCTAAAGTAAACGTAGGGTGATCTTGATAACTATTGAATCTGAATGATGGCATGTGGGGTTCACCGTATTCTATGTAGATTTGAAATTTTCATAATAAAATTTAAAAAGTATTCCTTGTCGCTATAACACATGCTATATAATTCATCTCAAACTTCCTCCCACAAAGAATTACCAATATGTAAAAGCTGTCACTCTGGATATGCCCAATTTCATGGAGGGATTTTGGTTTTTGGAGTTACGGATAATGGATAATTTACACAGTTTACAAACTAGGATAGGGTACCATCAAATGGGATGTCCAGTTGTGCTGGACTTGAATTGACAGATGTAAATGGACACTGACCAGAAGTACTCTGCTAGTTTATATATTCATATTTTAATTCTATAAAAGTGCACAAAGACTTTGGGAGGCGGAGGCAGACGGATCACCATAGGTCAGGAGCTCGAGACCAGTTTGGCCAACATGGTAAAACCCTGTCTCTACTAAAACTACAAAAATTAGGCGGGTATGGTGGCATACACCTGTAATCCCAGCTAGTCTGGAGGCTGAGGCAGGAGAAATCTCTTGAATCTGGGAGGTGGAAGTTGCAATGAGCTGAGATCGTGCCATTGCACTTCCATCTCAAAAAAAAAAAAAAACCAGAATGCTAAAACCAATATTTTACTCTGGTGGTCTTAAAATGAAAATTAGGTCTAACGTTAACATGTGAAAGAAATAGTGAAAATATTGACCTCATTCGAATTCTAACTTGGAAGAAAGATTGGGGATTTTATTTTCCACACAAAGTGCAGTGACAGCCTTACTATTCAGTCTGGGTATAATCTCTAGGGGTTTCATATTTTGGCTCTACTTGTTGCATTTCAAAGAAGATGAAGTTTTGTAACTGCCTCAAGAGTTGAAGTGATCCATGAAGTAAATATCTACTTTCTGCCTCTCTTTCCACTTTCTACACCTGTCCCTTAACATTAGTGCATTCCTCTGGGACCTAAGCATCTGGCTGCTTGGATGGCACATATAGGCCTGATGGGGAAAGGGACAGAGGAATCTAGGCTGCCCTGCTGACCCACACAAACTGGCTGGGTCCCAAAGGCATTGGCATTGACCTTCCCACAAAAACAGGTGCTTACGTGACGGCAGGGCCAGAACTGGGAGCAGAAGGGTAGGGTTGCAGCATTTCTTCTGAATGGATCCCAGTGTCACGGACAGCCTCAGGACCTGCAGTGGGGGAAGCATCTTGCCCGGCATTGGCACACTGGGAAGCCAGCCCTTTGTACAGCTTTGCCATGGATGACCTAACAGAATGGAAGTAATAGTTCTCAGGTTGTACAGTGGCAAAGTGGCTCTCTGAACACATAGATTATGCCAAAAAAGAGAGATGTCTCAGATAAAGTTTGCTGTGAAGGTCTCTGTCTCCAGGGCCTTTGCAAACTAAGTTGCTTACTTAATAGGGTGCAAGCTAGCAGGAGTAGGGAAGCTGATTAACAGGCTGAAAAGAGCTTGGGGTAAGGGCTGGGGTTGTGGAGAGACACATTCCATCACAGTAGCCCTGGCTTGGGAGACAGCATCTTTTTCTGGTCTGAAGCTTCCACAGAAATGATTCTGTTTTCCTTCACAGGAGTTGGGATGAAATTGAAGGAAATCCGGGTCGTTAGGAAGCTGTGCTGTGGGTTGCTTCTGTTCCCTCCAAAGCTCAGATTCTCCCTAATCAACCTTCCTATTTCTCCCTAATATAAAACCTAACCAAAATTCCCCTCCCTTATTTGCTTTATTTTTATCCATATCACATATCACCATCTTATTTATTTGCTCACTGTCCAACTCTAAAAAGGAAGCTCCATGTGCCAAAGACTTGGTTGGGGCCATTTTGTTCCTTTCAGTATATTCAGTGCATGGAACAGTGCATGGAACAGTGCCTGACATAAAATAGGTGCTCAATAAATATTTGTTGAATTAATAAAAGAAGCCATGTTGCAGACTTTTAACTGAAATTTTGACCACGCAAGTTTAGAGCAGTGAACCATTTTCAAGGTGGTTAGCAACATGGGACAAGAGGGTGTCTACGTAAGCAGTAGAGTGAAGTGTTTTTTTGTTAATTTCCCCTGGGTAGTCAGCGTCTTCCTCCTGTAGCCAGCCTGACCAGCTCTTTCTCTCCCCTTTTCTGTTCCCTTCTACCTCCCATCACTGCATTTCAACTACTTAACACAACGTGGTTACTTGTGAAAGACACCCACAGTAACTGGTGTATGTCTCTACTCTCAGAAGTCTTTGACCCGTTAGACTACACCATCAGAACCTTACTTCTTGAGCTTTTTCCGTTTCTGAATAAGCAAATCTTCATTGCATTGAAACAGCAGGGTGTAGTGTGAGATAAACACTCGGAGGCGCTGGACACACACCAGGAGTAGATAATAGTCAGGGTGCTCCTGCTCTGTGAACTTCAGGACATTCTGGATGGAGGGAAAAAGGAAGCAGCATTGCATAATTAGCATGAAAATTTGTCTGCACCTCACCTTGATCTGTTGTGGGAATTTGATAGCTATTTAATCAAAACAACAAACAATACACATGACCCATCCAATTATATGCTGAAAGGTCAAACTGGCTGCTCTCTATCGCACCAAGGGAAAAATAAGTCACTATTGTACCTGTTTGACTTGAACGTGAACATAATTTCATCTGAAAAGTTAGAAGCATCTCCTAATTAGACCTCTGAAGTAGTAGAGGCATTCTTTTTTTTATTTTTTTGAGACAGAGTTTCGCTCTTGTTACCCAGGCTGGAGTGCAATGGCTCGATCTCAGCTCACCACCGCCTCCGCCTCCTGGGTTCAAACAATTCTCCTGCCTCAGCCTCTTGAGTAGCTGGGACTACAGGCGTGTGCCACCATGCCCAGCTAATTTTTTTTGTATTTTTAGTAGAGACGGGGTTCCACCATGTTGACCAGGATGGTCTCGATCTCTTGACCTTGTGATCCACCCGCCTCGGCCTCCCAACGTGCTGGGATTATAGGCGTGAGCCACCGCTCCCGGCCGTAGTAGAGGCATTCTAACAATTATTGTCTATAAGCAGTGCCTTAACTCAAAAGAGCCAGACCAATGTTAACAGCATCAGGCATCAAGGCAGGCGAGGGAGGAGGATGTTTATGATCAAGCCTGGGGGCCCCTCCTGTTATATTCCCTGCTGTGCTGCAGCGGAACATGAGTGCAATTTGGATTTGGGAAAGCTAAAATGTATCGAGTACTTCCTATTGCCAGGTAGTAAGTGCTTTACGTATATTATCTCATTTAATTTTTACTGCAACCTACTTACACCGGTACTATTATTAATTCCGTTTAACAAATAAGGAAATCGAGGTATGAAGAAGTTAAATGATCTTCATCAGGTCACACCTGTAGTAAATAATGGAGGCAAGATTTGAACTCAACTCAGAGAGTAGAACCAGGGCTTGTTTGCCATATTCTACTATTTGCAAAACCTGAGTTTCAGTCCTAGGTTTTTTTTACCTACTAGGTGTGTTAACTTGGGTAAATTCTTAATTTCTTTGGCCCTGCATTTTCTTTTGTAAAATATAAAGACAATAATACCTATTTCATGGGATTGCTGTAAGAATTAAATAAGATCATTATTGTGAGAAAATGTTTTTAGGATCTAAAGCTATACACAATTGAAAGTCTTTTCAGGCCACGAGTGGTGACTCACACCTGCAATCCAAGCACTCTGGGAGGCCAAGGCGGGAGGATCACTTGAGTCCAAGAGCTCAAAACCAGCCTGGGCAACACAGGTAAACCCTGTCTCTACAAAAAATACAAAAATAAGCCAGGCATGGTGGCACACACCTAAGTCTCAGCTACACAGGAGGCTGAGGTGGGAGCATTGCTTGAGCTGGGGAGGTTGAGGCAGCAGTGAGCTAAAATCACACCACTGCACTCCAGCCTGGGCAACAGAACCAGACCCTATCTCAAAAAAAAAGTCTTTTCAATATTGATACTTTGATACTGGACTACTGGACTACTTCTACCTAAGATTAATCCCAAGCATTTCCAAGATGCTTTCATTGAATTACTTAAGAAGATCAGTCAGCAGTTAAATCAGAACAGGTGGGTGGTGGAAAGAAGAAGGTCTGGTGGGGGTTAGTGAGCCTCTATTTCAAGTCTGCTTCCTCCAGGATATCACAAGCCCTGCAGGAAAATGGTGTGAAGACATCAGCTCATCATCTTCATGCCTCTTCTATGACATAAAGCTTAAGCATGGTATAGTAGAACACCGGACCCATGCCAAAAGAAAGTAGGATAGCAGTAAAGTGGGCAGGTTAGAGATATTTAGATGTCGGGGGTGGCATGTAGATGGCTGTAAAACCAAAGTGGAGAGAACTGGATGAGGTGCTTAGAATCTAGCAGGAGTGGTTATAGAAAGATCCTGGATCAGCTGAGGTGGAAATTGCTGGTAAGCAAAAATAGAACTTCAGAGGTAAGCATCATGAGCTGAAAATTTTTAGAAATAAAGATTTTCAGCTGGTCACAGTGGCTCACACCTGTAATCTCAGCACTTTTGGAGGCCAAGGCGGGTGGATCACTTGAGGTCAGGAGTTCAAGACCAACCTGACCTACATGGTAAAACCCCATCTCTACTAAAAATACAAAAATTAGCTGGACATGGTGGTGCGCACCTGTAGTCCCAGCTACTTAAGAGTCTGAGGCAGGAGAATCGCTTGAACCTGGGAAGCAGAGGTTACAGTGAGCCAAGATCTTGCCACTACACTCCAGCCTGGGTGACAGATCGAGACTCAATCTCAAAAAAGATAAAAGAAAAAAAAGACTTTAGCTCATACCACAGGACATTATGGGCTATGGGGTAATCATAACAATCTAGGTAAACACTTTTTAGAAATATTAACGATTCTTGAGGTGTTACAGTCTTTCTCAGCTGGGAGCCAAAGACAATCATTATTTAGCATGAAAATCAGTTCAGTGGCTTTCCCACCCACACCTACCTGCAGATGTATCAGATATTCAGGGATGCGCTGGACTATATGGAAAAACAACGTGTAGATGTCAGATTTAATCTCTTCATCACCCTGAGTGAAAGAAAGGTCAAGTCACTCTTCAGTGTTCCTCCAGCTGTGGCAGCAGAACCTCTGAGTCGGTCCCACCAGAGTAGGAAGGGTTTCCTCCCACAGCATTTTCTTCCTGGAGATTGTCATACAGCACCGATCTCTCATGGGAGAGGCCACGTGTTCAGAGACACACCTTAGGGGATAACTCTTCTCCCGAAGGGAGCATTTCATATACTTCTTCTGAATCCACCCAAATTTCCAAACTACCCTCTCCTTCCCCTCATCTTAGCGCAGTTCCAGACGGAAGTGGGTACTCAATAAACCATATCTGAGTTGAATGAATTCATTAAGGCTCTCCAGCAAGGAATCATAACAATGGTGTAGTAGTAGGCTTGAAGGGAGACTTGGAGCCTCAGGAGAGTGGAAAAGGAAGTGTGTGTGATTCGAAACTAAGGAGCTGTCCTGGCCGCAGAAAACATGCTGCATTTCTCCATGTCCCTTCCTTCTCCTTCTCTTCTTTCCCAGATATTAGCTGAAAGCTAACATGTGGTAGGCATTATACTGGGTTGGGAGTAGTGGGGGGTTGAAGTAGAAACTTAATAAGACAGAGCCTCTCATCTCTTGTGAAATTTGATTAATTCTTGTTGTTGGGGCTTCTGACACTGTTTTACCTATTGATCTGAAATAACTGAGTTGTTATACATGCATATGTGCTTACTGAGCACCTAATGTATCACTGCAGTAGCAATACTTCAAGCAACATGACTAAGCCACCTTAGGATCTTATAAACTGACAAAGAATGAGAAGTTTAATATTCAGAGTCACATCTTCTGAGACTGAAAAAAAACCCACCACATACATACAGCATATAAGCTGCAGCCTGGAGACCTCTGCATAGAACGCCCATTTAGTTTGTCTATGATTCCAATGGAATGGAAGAGAGGGTCAGTAAGGCAGGGAGAGGACCAACACAATGGCACTGATCCTTAAGTCAGTTCCCCTAATGCCAGGTAGTAGTGTCAGTGGCTCCGTTCAGGCCATTTCCCAGCCTAGAAAGCAGAGTGCATGTGCCGTATTGACTGGGTGGATGAACAACATCATATGGATGCCATGTGCAGATGAAGGATAGCAGATACATAGTGTTAACTCACCTCTTTCAGGACTACAACGTGAACCAATGAGATGCACTCAGGCAGGTCCCTCAGGTAGGCAACGTAATAATCCAAGAAATTATTCTTTAAAACAAACACATAGAGAGAAACAAAAAAGTTACTCCAGCTCTCTCCTGATTTAAATATTTAAAAATAATAAAAAAGAAATAAAAAACAAACACAAAAATTCATGGTAAGAACCTGAAAACAGGATCAATAATATTTTTATGGAGTTATATATGTAAAACAAAAGAGTATGTTGCATAGATTATCTTATTCATTTAATGTGTTCTTTATATATTTTGGGGCTTAAAAAAAAAAAACTTTTTGGTTTTAAGGTAAACATCCCTACTGCTTGGGAAGCAAAACTCAGTATCAGCCAGGTGCAGTGGCTCATGCCCATAATCCCAGCACTTTGGGAGGCCAAGACAGGCAGATTACCTGAGGTCAGGAGTTTGAGACCATCCTGGCCAACATGGTGAAATCCCATCTCTACTGAAAATACAAAAATTAGCTGGGCATGGTGATGTGTGCCTGTAATCCCAGCTACTGGGAGGCTGAGGCAGGAGAACCACTTGAACCTGGGAGGCAGAGGTTGCAGTGAGCTGAAATTGTGCCATTGCACTCTAGCCTGGGTGACAGAGCAAGACTCCATCTCAAAAAAAAAAAAAAAAGAAAAAGAAAAGAAAACCTCAGCATCCCTTCCCTAATGAGAGAAAGTGAAATAATAAACCCAGGGAGGAGGGAGGTTCATGTAAGTTGAAAATGTATTTTTTTAATCATTTAATAATAAAAATGTATATTTTTGTAATTCCATTTCATTTCAGTCAATCATCTATGTCCAGATGAAGGACTCTGCCCACCCCACTTCATGTTATCCAGACTGGTGGTTCACAACATTTTCTAGTAATTGCATATTTCCACTAATTGAATATTTATGCATTATCCTCTTAGGAAAATCATTATCAGCTTCTAAAGTTATAATAATTCTGAGCTAAACAAAGCCTTCTGAACACAAGAGAGTAAAAGTGATATTAAAGGATATTAGTACATTATATCCACTCTAGTCTATGGAAGAAAATAATCTTTGTATAATAAAAGTAAACTTTGTATTGTTATCCAGAGTTGAGAATAATTGATATACAAAAACTGATTCCAGGCAAAGTCTGGCTTGCAGACCAATTTTAATTAGCCCACAAAATCTTTTAAAAATCAGAAAATTTGCAGATTCCCAGCTTTTCTTAAAATATCAGAAGCTCAGGCAACTCTGCTCCTTTTTTCCTGCATAGTGAGTGGATAGAGCTGAGTAGCTATTCCTTGTAGAACCACACAGGTGCTCCACTCCAGCTCACACTCCACACCAGTCCATGCTGTGTTCACACATTTATGCCACTGTCTGGCCCTGTAGGCATTTAAGTTTGCAACCTCTGGCTTAGATCCTATTTTCTTTGTAGGATATTATAGAGATTATAAAATTCAAGACAATAGCCACCCATCACATTTTTTAAAGATCTCCAAGAAATGAAAATTGTGTGTGAAAATACACATGTATACACAAACTCTCATGTGTGTGTATATATATATGCATGTGTGTGTATATATATATATATATATATACACACACACAATTTTCTTTATTTGAGACAGGGTCTTGCTGTGTTACTCAGGCTAGTCTCAAAGTCCTGGGTTCAAACAATCCTCCTGCCTCAGCCTCCCAAAGTGTTCAGATTACAGGAATGAGCGAGCCACCACACCAGGCCCACAAATATATATATATATACATGCATTTATATAAACACAAACACAATACATACACACATCCACATGTGTATTCAATGGAGGCAATTATAGGACAGTGGAAAGCTATGAACTAGAAGTCAGAAGACCTAATTTAGGATTCTACTCACAGATCTCCAACTACCTGTGATTTCAGCAAGGCTTTTAAATCTCTCTGAATCATGGAATGATCTGTATGTAGGATGAAAAGTTACGCTAGATCTCAGTAGCTCCTCTACCTCTGAAGTTCACCTCTTCTAGATTCTCCATTAAGAGAAGTAGACAGATGAGACACAAATACATATAAGTAAAATTTATAGAAGGGCAGATAAAAGCTTACCTCATCATTTGTTAACTTAAGGAATAAATCTCCGAGAACGCCTTGGCGTGGCCACTTCAGGACCCTTTCCTGCAGCGCGTGAAGCAGGTCCAGGTGCTGCTGGACAAGGTACCGTAAAGAGCCAGGGAAGAGGCTTGAAACAGAATAGAGATGAATCACACACACCAGGTGTAGAGAAGAAAGGACCCTACAAACATACACACTGCAGGGCCCATTCTCCCAGCCATCACCATACCCTGAGCCACAGGCCTGCATTTAGGATTTTTTTAAGTTTTTTTTTTTAACTTTTTCATTGCACACCTAATAGCAGATATCCACAGACTACAACAACAACAAACCCTTTACTGATGGCTCCTATACAAATACGTATTGAACTAATAAAGAGGCCCAATGTGCCACGCCTGCAATCCCAGCACTTTTAGAGCAGGAGGATCACCTGAGGTCAGGAGTTTGAGACCAGCCTGGCCAACATGGCAAAACCCTGTCTCTAAAACATAAAAAATTAGCTGGGCATGGTGGTGTGCACCTGTAGTTCCAGCTACTTGGGAGTCTAAGGCAGGAGAAATCACTTGAATCAGGGAGGCAGAGGTTGCAGTGAGCTGAGATCACTCCACTTCACCCCAGCCCGGGTAACAGAGTGAGACTCTGTCTCAAAAAAATAAACACAAACATAAATAAAATAAAAATAAAGAGCACATCACTTGAAAGACCTTTTTAAACCTAACCTGGTACTCACTCATTTAAACGACACTCAGTGGAAATTCTAAGGGATACCTTTCCAATGTTTTAGAGTTATTGCTATTTGATGGGCAAGATAGTCTATTCTAATTAGTGTGGTGATGCGGCACTCAGGTGGCATCTATATGGCCATTCTCAGCTACCAGTCAGAGACTGCTATTTAGGTAAGCAAGAAAAATTGTTTAAAGCTGGCAACTAAAAAGCTCAGGGAGTTGTAGGATAAGGGAGGGTTTCTTTTTTCCTTTTCTTCAGTTTCTAAGAGGAATACTGGGCCCGGACAGAGTGTTGTTTGTGTAGACTATTCACATAATTTGGATGTGTGTCCCTGCCCAACTCTCATGCTGAAATGTAATCCCCAGTGTTGGAGGTGGGGCTTGGTGGGAGGTGACTGTGTCATGAGGGTGAATTTCTCGTGAGTGGTTTAGCACCATCCCTTTTGATACTGTCCCACCAAGTAATAGCGATGGCGATTGAGTTCTCATGAAATCTGTCTGTTTACAAGTGTGCAGTGCCTCCGTCTTTCTCTCTTGCTCCTGCTCTGGCTTATGGCGTGCCTGCTTCCCCTTCGCCTTCCAGCGTGATTGTCAGTTTCCTGAGGCCTCCCCAGAGGCCGAGCAGATCATGCTTCCTGTACAGCCTGCAGAACCTTAATCCAATTAAACCTCTTTTCTTTATAAATTGCCTAGTCTCAGGTATTCTTTATAGCAATGTGAGAGCAGCCTAACACAGCTACTGATCAGGCCCGGCCTCCTACTCCCTGAAATTTTACAAAGCACCTTTTCTACTCTTCCATCCCTCTCTTCTATTTTGCAGTGTACCTTGCAGTGTATCTCAGAAGTAATGAAGGGAAGAAGGGAGACGTCGGAGAAGGGTGGGTGAAGAGGAGAGATAGAAAGAATCATGGGAGGAAGAGGAAGGGGGACTAGCTGGGTAAGACTGAGGCGATTAGAGGCCTATAGGAAAGAGGAAGAAAAAAACAAAAAGAAGCGCAGTTTTTCTGGGCTTCTAACTTGGTAACTTAAGGTAGGTTCCCTTATGCTTTCAGCACCACAAGTTTAACATACAGAAAAGAGATGGTCTGGTTGATCTGAACTTATTTGAGTATTTCCCCAGGGTGAAATGAGAGTAAGTTGGTGGACAACCGAGGTGCTCTGCCAACAAGCAAACCTTCGCTGGGACAATAGGAAGGACACCAGATTGAGAGGAGGTTTTTTTCAACTCATTTCCAAGCAAAGCAAAGTGACCCCTGTGACTATAGCTCAGAGGAGACACACAAACACCAAAAGAGGGTACTCAGCCCCCTATGAAAAGATACAAGGAAGGCTTCCGCTTCCTCCACCACCTGTGCCTGCAGCCTCCACACTTACAAAGCCAGCTGATCCATTAACACAGGAGGAGAGGCCTTCTGATCTCAGCGCCTACAATGGAACAGTGGGCTTAGGAGATCAAAGAAATCCCTACCCAGATCAGAGGGGAATTTGGAGGGGTGGCTAGAAGATATACTAACTGGGAGAAGACCATAAACCTGATGGAAAAAAACACAACTGATTGTACTGAAAGAGCAAAATGAGGCTGGGTGTGGTGGTTCACACCTGCAATCCGAGCACTTTGGAAGACCAAGGTGGGCAGATCACCTGAGGTCAGGAGTTTCAGACCAGCCTGACCAACATAGAGAAACCCTGTCTCTAATAAAAACACAAAATTAACTGGGTGTTGTGGTGTGCTCCTGTAATCCCAGCTACTCAGAAGGCTGAGGCAAGAGAATCGCTTGAACCCGGGAGGCAGAGATTGTAGCGAGCCGAGATCACGCCATTGCACTCCAGCCTGGGCAACAAGAGTGAAATTCCATCTTAAAAAAAAAAAAAACAGGACCGGGTGTGGTGGCTCATGCCATCACTTTGGGAAGCCAAGGAAGGTGGATCACAAGGCCAGAAGTTCAAGACGAGCCTGGCCAAGATGGTGAAACCCTGTCTCTACTAAAAATACAAAAAAAAAAAAAAAATTAGGCAGTCATGGTGGCAGGTGCCTGTAATCCTAGCTACTCAGGAGGCTGAGGCAGAGAATTGCTTGAACCTGGGGAGGCGGAGGTTGCAGTGAGCCAAAATCACGCTATTCCAGCCTCGGTGACAGAGTGAGACTCCATCTCAAAAAAAAAAAAAAACAAACAAAACCGAAAGAACAAAATGCTGAGGCCTCCCCAGAGAACGAGCAAATGCCAGCATCATGCTTCCTGTACAGCCTGCAGAACTGTGATCCAATTAAGTCTCTTTATAAATTACCCAGTCTCAGGTATTCTTTATAGCAATGTGAGAAGAGCCTAAGCTATGACATGAAGTGTACTTACTGTTTCATAAGTTACATGAAAAACAATGACCTACAGTGGGCTCTGTATAAAATGTTGAAAATGGGCTTTAAACTTTAAAAAAAAAATTAAAGGTATTTGAAATTAGGGAGGAGTGTGAAATCAGAAGACAGAGGGTAAAGGGAGAAAGACGGCATGAAGCACAGCCACACTTCACCTATTTCACTCTTTCGCCTGGCACCAGACCTGACTCCCAGAAGCAGCTTTTTCAGAAGACAAAATATTCAGAGCTCAGCTTTGTTTTCTTTTCCTTACTGGGGATGAAATTACAGCAACATGAGTAGTTTATTATTTCTAAAGCCTTCAAAGTATTTATCTCCCAAAAATATATACTTAATCAGTGAGGGAAATACACTAAAAGCAAGAAAGAAAAATCCAGTTATAGTTTCAGGTTAATAACTTAGCTTTTGCCCGCCCAGTAAGAGGCTAAAATAACTCCTTAGCTTCGCAGCAGCAGGTTCCCACCACCTTGGATGGGCATGATCATTAAACGTGTGCCACCTGGTGGTGATCCGTAGCATGACGCTTGTTGAGTTCTTGGTGGACATAGCACTGGAATTTAGCTTACAAGGCTAATGGACGACAATCCTGCTGAACTGATCACTGCCACCTCCACAAGTGTTCAGACAGCACTGTGATCCTGAGGCTGTGGCTCTACCT